CTGTGAAGTATGTACTGCACGTACCACATGTACCGCCTGTACCGCAGGCCAAGGACTTCCACCGCAACCTGGGCGAGCTGGCCGACGCGCTGGTGGTGCAGCACGCGTACCACATGAGCGCCGAGGAGGTACTGCACGCGTACCGCTGACATTCCACTGCACTGCATTCCTGTGCCGCACCACTCCGTGCGGCTTGCTGCCTCGTGCGCTGCTGTCCTGCCGCCTGCCCCGCCGGCCAGCGGCGCGTCCTGCCTGGCCCGAAACCTTACGGTACCGCATCTACATGTTGTACCGCAGAGCGAGACCCGGCACTACGGCGAGGCCTCCTGCCGCGACTACCGAGCCTCGGTGCTGGCGGCGCTGCCGCACAGGTGCCGCTGGGTGCTAGCTACTGCTGCTGGGTGCCGTTGCTGCTGCCGCTGGTGGTGGTGGTGGTGGTGGTGGCGGTGCTGCCGTTCTGCTGCTGCTGCTGCTGCGTTCTGCTGCTGCTGCTGTTCTGCTGCTCCCACAGCACACCCCGCACTCCGCCGCTCATCGGCAGCGCCGCCCACCCCGCCGCCTCCTGTACTTCTCTCGGGAGCCGCCTCTCCTCCTTGACGGCGCTGCCCCTTCCCCCCGCACGCTTAGCTTGCCCCCATCCCACCCCTCTTCTCCCTCCCCCTCCTGAGCCCCCGCAGCTGGCACTCCCCGCTGGACACCGCCCTCGTGCCCGCCCACTTCGAAAAGCACAGGGCCGGTACCGGCGCCCAGAAGCAGGGGCTGTCCCGCCTGGGCACCCTCAAGGGCGACGCCGCCAAGGGCGGCGCCGCGGGAGGGAAGCGCGGCGGCGGCGGCGGCGGCGCGGCGGCTGGCGTGGCTGGCAAGAACCCCGGCAAGGGCGGCGGCGCCGTGGGCAAGGTTGTGTCAGCGGTGAGCCTGCTGCTGCGGTGGTGGCGGCGGCGGCGGCAGGGAGTTGTGCCTGCCTGGCCTGGCCTGGCCTGCCGGTGGCTGCTGCTGGGTGCCGCTGGGTGTGCTGTGCTGTGCTGTGCTGTGATGTACTGTGCTGTGCCGCGCTGTGCTGTGCTGCACCCCGGGCTGGCTGCCGCGCTGGCGCTGCCGGCTGTGGCGTCCTTGGCTGGGCGGCCCGCCGCTTTGCTTCGAAGCTTTACGTCCCCGGCTGCCGCTGGCTGTGCCGTGCCGTGCCGCGGACCGCGCTTCCCACCTCGCAGCCTCGCCCCCGCCCCCCCGCCCCGCCCCCGCATTGTGCACGCACCAACGCACACCCTGGCTGACCCCACGCTGTCATGCCTGCAGGTGGTCAAGGGTGCCACCAAGGGCGAGGGCCCTGCCGCGGCGCGGCGCCACGCGGCGCAGCCTCCTAACGTCGTGGTGGCGCACCTAGGTGTGAGGGAGAGAAGTGTGTGTGTGTGTGTGTGTGTGGTGTTGGTGAGGGGTTGGCCTGGGGGAGGGGCATGCGCGCCTCGTGCCGCGCCTCCCGGCGCGCGCCGCACGCCGGCGTGTGCGTTGAGCGCATGCGATGCCTTTGATCGCCCTGTGTCTCGCACACCTGACCCGTGCCGACATGTACCGCCCACATATACCGCCATTGCTGTACCGCAGAGGAGGGCATCGAGGCGATCCACCTGTTCTCGGGGCGCACCGTGTGCCGCCTGCACCTGCCCACCCCGGGTGCGATGTGGTGTGGGGGGCTGCTTGCTGGGTGCTTGTGTGTATGTGCTCTGTGTGTGCTCTGTGTGTGTGTGTGTGTGTGTGTGTCTGTGTGTGCCTGCCAAAG